TGTGACTAGGGATGGGCACAAACTGGGAATATGTGGTTCGGTTCATGATGTGCCTCGTCCACGAACCATGGAACATCACAATTTTTTTGTGGTGTTTGGTTCATGAGGTGGTAGAACAGCCTCCACTGGTGTGCTAGGGACACCAAACTTGGAGGGGATCTCTGGCTGACTCTACCAGCCCTCCAAGTTTGGTGAGGATAATATTTACGGGGTCCGAATTATGGCTCCCCAAAGAAGGTGCTCCCATGAAATGACCATTTTGACTGGAGCAGGTTTTGACTAGAATTCTTCCTGGTGTAGGTTCAGGACTGTATAGAATGGATACTATGCAAGCTAGAGACAACAAACTTGGATGGCAGGTAGAGGAGAGCCAGCCGGAGATCCCCTCCAAGTTTGGTGTGTCTAGCTTTCACAAGAGCCATTCTATACACCCTTTTTTATATAATATTTTATTGATTTTATAAACTATATCCTACATTCTAAAGGTAAGGGTACAGGGGAAAACCTGTCACTAACTTATGACAAGAATATCTGTAAACCGACAAATGCATACATCACTCCTGCAATAATATTGATATTTTGATAAACATAGAATTATAAAAGCAGAGAGATCAAACTTCTATCGATTAAAGCTTAATTACACTTAAGTCAAGTAATGTTGTAATCCAGAAAAAAAACACGTTTATCTCTTGGGCTTCTTCTTCACTTTTGGAGTTTTGGGCGCTGCTTCTCCTTTCTCAGACTCTGACGTTGAACTGCTGGAATCACTTGGAGGCTCCACAATATGCCTCCAAGTTGCTGAAAGTTTTGTAAATATTTTGATTGAGTGGAGAGAATCTGTCTGGGAATGTATCTACTCACAAACTGGCACAAACCTCCACAAACAGCTTGAAAGTTTGTGGAAAGTTTATGCTGGTTGCCCTGCCACAAACTTGACTTCGCAAAGCATGACCCAGCCAAAATTCATCACATTAATCAGTTTGTTCCCATCCCTAGCTGTGATCTGATGGCAAAAACCAACAACGAACCCATTATTATCAATCCTTATTGAAAACAGCAATACTCAATACAGGACAGGATTCCTGGGCCTAACAGTGCTTTGAAAAAGGGGGGGCTTCAGCTGCTGCAGCTTCTCCCATTATAGCTCTGCCCAACAGTGGACAAAAACAAACCTGCCAAGATCCTTCCTTTCTTCTTTTGTTGTTGTTCAGTCACACAGTCGAGTCCGACTCTTCGCGATCCCATGGACCAGATCACGCCAGGCCCTCCTGTCTTCCACTGTCCTCTGAAGTTTGCTCAATTTCATGTTCGTTGCATCTATGACACTGTCTAACCATCTCATCCTTTGCCGTCCCCGTCTTCTTTGACCTTCAATCTTTCCCAGCATCAGGGTCTTCTCCAGTGAGTGCTCCCTTCTCATTTGGTGGCCAAAGTATTTGAGCTTCAGTTTCATTATCTGGCCTTCCAGGGAACAGTCAGGGTTGATTTCTTTGAGGATTGACTGATTTGATCTTCTTGCAGTCCAAGGGACTCTCAAGAGTCTTCTCCAGCACCATAGTTCAAAAGAATCTATTCTTCGGCGCTCGGCCTTCCTTATAGTCCAACTCTCGAACCCTTACATGACTACTGGGAATACCATTGCTTTGACCATGCGGACTTTTGTTGGCAGGGTGATGTCTCTACTTTTTATCATGCTGTTTAGGTTCGCCATCGCTTTCCTCCCAAGGAGCAGGCGTCTTTTAATTTCATGGCTGCTGTCACTGTCTGCGGTGATCTGGGATCCCAGGAACGTGAAGTTCTACACTTCATTCTACATCTCTCTAAAGGCCTGGGAGTCCGCCCATCTCTTCAGCACATCAATTTCTACCCACAGAACTTCTCCTGCAGAAGCAGAAGTGATGAAATGCACAGCAGAGCAATGTTTTGCCCTGCCTCGCGGCACGGCCTCTTCCCAGCTTAATTTTGCAGCCTTCCCACTCTCAGCTGTTCCCAGCCTCTGCATTACGGGGGAGTGCAACATGCATGTAGACTGGAAAATTCCAGATTAAGGAAAACAAAACATATTTGCTTGTAGATGCAGTTAGTAAATTTGTATCTGGAAAGAATAGTTCACCCCAGTTATTTAAGGATTTATCCATAGAATCAAAAGATCACATGGCTTTCTGGATCTATGCAGGGTTGCCAACTCCTAGTTGGGAAATTCCTGGAGATTGGGGAAGGTGGAGAGTGGGGAGGTCTGGGTTTGGGGTGAAGGACCTGCACAGGTTATAATGCTGTAGAACCCACCCTCCAAGGCAGCTATTTTCTCCAGGAGATCTTATCTCAGTCATATGGAGATCTGTTGAAATTATGAGAAATCTCCAGGCCTCACCTAGAGGCTGGCAACCCTAGATCTATCCTGTGCCAGACTCATTCCTGTGCCAAACCCACATCCCTCACATAATTGAGATCTTGCCTGGCCAGCCTCCGTGTTTTCAGCAGCCATTCTATTCTCCACTCAATCATTTATGGATCTGAAATTTGCAGCACTGTGCTTTCAAGGCTGTATAAGAAAGTCAGTGCTACTTACTGTAAAGGCTTCATAGCGACAGAGCACAGGGTGTTGGGGCGGAGATGGGACATTACATATAAAATCTGCTCTGACGTTACAGTGTGGGGTCTTCAGTCTCATTCACACACAACAACTTTTGGAAACAATTTTCTTTCCCTTATAAGTGAAAGTGAGGGAGGGGACATTAATGCCACCTTGGTTATAAACAAGTAGAGCTTCCAGCCAGTAGAGAAAAATGCTTTCTGGGCCAGATCTGGTTTATGGTTATCTGTTTGATATCACATGATGTACTTCAAGAAGCTCTAGATGATAGCAGTTAGTGATCACTCAGGAGTTAGTAGGTTAGTTGGTCATTTTGAGGACAAACATTAGATATGCAAAATGCATTTTACCCTTTCCTTCCTATGATTAGGAGGTAATTTCTTGAAATGCATTGGGTTTTTAAAAAGTATTTTTATTGTACATTTAAACACAGTTCAAAGTACTGTGATTTGTAATGCCTTCATCAATAAATCTGTCATTTTCCATCTTATGTTATAAAGTTCCAGTCAACTCAAACAAAGGAACCAAGAGGAAAACAGAAAACTGCCAAAGAACATTCCTTCCTGACCTGAAACATGGATAAAACAGCAAGCAAAACCCATTTACAAGCTACTCTGGGATACAAAAATTATGCTGAGTTCTTCTCTGCTTACTGTGATCATCCTAGTTGTGAGAGTCTTTGATGCTCCAGCTTGCATTCATAGCTCAGCTGCCCGGTATCAAAACGATGGCTAGCAGGCTGTGAACACCAAAAGCCAAGTGCATCAGTCTCTGTTCTTGCATAACTCAGACCAGGTCTTTAAAAACTGCAGACTTCTCTCGTCACCCACTGAGGATAATTTTTTTTTGGGGGGGGGGGGACTGGTTGCTCTTGCATTTTATCAACTCCTACTTTCAAAGCACCATTAATGAACTTGAGGATACATAAAAATGCAAAGACAGTGCTGTAATATGTATATGGGCTCTTCATGCATTACATAGTATGCAGTGTGGGCCTGGAGTCCCCATTCTGTGACCAATGTACACAATCAACTTTAGGATTCAGAGCCAGAGCCCAAAATTAAATGGACCACACTTAGTGGCCCTAGTCAAGTTAAGTGCAATCGAAGCAAGTTGGTTACACCTCATTTAAGTCCCATTGCATTCAGAGTGTTTTCCACTTTCATAAAAAATGTTCGGAAACTCACAATGGGCCGCTCTCACTTGCCTAGGTCAAAATCATACCAGGTTGGTAGAGAAAGCCAACAGACTGAATAATGTGCTGGAGACTGGGAAGCAACTCGGTTCCCAGCCATTATTCATATGGAGCTGGGATAGGATAACCTTTACACAGGAATATCATGTCAGATAGCTTTCCTTATCATTGTCTGAGAAAGACATTATGTCCTTACAAATGGATTTAGCTGAGGGTAAGGTGCTTCCAATGATGGAGACCTCAAGATGAAGGCTATTTTTCTATATACAGAATTCATAGGAGTTCGTTGTGCATGCAAACGCACACACACAATGCCCCAAACACACTTATATTTTTATTATGGCCTTTCTTTTGTATTCCATTTAAGGTAGCCAGCAGCCAGTTTACCCATAAAACAAGCCTGCGAGGTGAATTAAAGACAGCAGCTGGTTTAAGGACACCCTAGACTGAACAGGATTTGAACCCATATCCCCACTGGATCAATTACAACACATTATCCATGTGTTAGTTTTCTCAACTTCCCTTTGTGCTGTTCCCTTTGTGCTGTTGTTGCCGGTCCATCATAACAATAGTTATTTTGCTGCTGGATGTAATCTTAAATTCCTAACCCACTTTGACTGTACACAGTTTATCTGAAAACTAGATTACTATTGGAATACTGAAGAAACCCACACTTCCTAAGCACAGTACAGAAATATTACTATCAAGTTCGAAATGATGTTCCACTCCTAGACTCCAGAATTCATTATCTTATAAACAGAAACAGAGAAAGAAACAAATGGAGAGGAAGTTAACTTGTTCTCAGGCGGAGGGTCTTTCCCAGCCCTTTGGACCTTATACATACCAACCATGCCCTCTTGTACTGAGCTGCAGCAACCCTACCCTTACAAGTTGGTCTCTATTGGCACTTCTGTGAGCCAGAAAGGAACACAAAATTTCAGGCAAAAGTTAAGACACTGACAGGCAAATTGAGGTATATAATATGCTTTCAGCCTGACAACATTAAACTACTGTAAAATTCCATGAAGTAGAAAACTAATTTGATACAAAACTTATATATATATATAGCTGACAAGTGTCGCTATGGCAGCAGTTGATGTCTCTCTTCAGGGAACTGTGGAGAGCATCTCCGTGAGTCATTCCCAGTCACAGACATTCCAAATGTCTCTCAGCACCTTTCCTCTTAACACGCACAAATTGTCCCAGGTTGGTTCACTGAAGTACCAAGCTGCCCATGCTCTCCATCTTTGTACCCTGCTGAGATGGCTCCTGAGGTGGGAGAGAGACTGTGGGGAGGGGCAGAGTATCCGCTGCCACCACTGCCGTTTCCCCTCCTGGTAGAACTAAACGCATGCAGCGTCGGAACTCCTCATTCTTCCACGTATACAGCAGTGGATTGAAGGCAGACAGAGAGCAAAAGAGTAGCCAGCTGGCTAGCTGAACCCCCCGAGGAATGGGCTGGAAGAAGAAGCCTAGCAGGCTGATCCACACCAGGGGCTGGGTAGCCAGGAGAAACACAAGGCAGAGGAGCAACACAGAGATGCTGCTCAAGCGCCGCTGTGTCCGGCGTGGCACTTGTGATGCAGCCGGGAAAGGAAGCTGCTGAAGCAGATGGAAGTTGAGGACACTGACCCGTTTGACGCTGCCACGCACCCTCCTTACAATCCCCATGTAGCAGTGCAGCAGCACAACTGTCTGGCTGAGCAGAGCTAGGGCAACCATCAGGCCTGTGTAACTGGAGGCGCTTCTGCTAGTTGTGCTTCTGGACCCCGGCTGGTCATGCCACGTTTGCAGTCCGAATGGAATCAAGGCAAGGAGCAGGGCACCCCCCCATGACAGGCCAATCATCCAGGCAGTGTGCTTCTGCTGGTAAACAGCCTGGTATGTAATTGGAGGCTTGGTGATGAGGACGTATCGGTTGAGGGCCACCATGAGGTGAGAAAGCAGTGAGACAATGAGCCCCAGGCCTACAAGCCCAACCCGGAGCAAGTGGTACCCTTCTGAGTGAACCGTGGCAGAGCCTGGGGGTAGCAACCCTTGCACTGCTTCTTGTGGCATCCAAAGTCCACACACGCATAGATCGGCAATGCAGCCATTCACAATGAAAGCATTGCTGGTGGTGCGCAGCTTCCTGAAGGTAAAGACCAGATAAATGACTGTGATGTTGGATAAAGTGCCAGAGATAGCCAACAGGACATACAGAAGAGACAAAGAGATCCTGGAGCTGAGGGAGTCTTCTTCACAAAGCAGCAGGTGCAAGGAGCTCGAGCTCCAGGAGGAAGAGGAGTTGAGCATGCCGTAGAACATAAATCCAGCGCTTTTGCACCTCCACCTCTAGACAAATCTCATCACTGGCTAAAATGGGCCATGAAGAAATCAAGATATAAATGAGGACCATGCATAACCCAACAAGGGCAAACACAGATAATGGGAAAGGTCCAAAGCATGCTGAGAACCGAGACAGCAATAAAACTTTCCCTCTCACATTTGTACATGCGGAATCCTGAAGTCAGTTGTTGGCAAAAATATACAGCAATTCTTCAGAAGTTGAAACAAGGAGAACAGGCATAACCAAGAGGATGCAGCCATCATGATCTCAGGCGAGTGTCTGAAAGCCAGGCAAGCAGAAGAAGATGGTGCCAGCAGCATATGGAGGAACACAATCTGACAGATGTCCATGGTCAGAGAATCAAGTTCACAAGACGGGCAAGAGCATCTAGTGCCCAAAGAGAAGCAAGCAAACAGATGAGAGAGAAGAAAGGATGGTTACCTGTGTAAGTAATGGGTGATGAACAGCCTCAAGAGCACTAAACGCCTCCTCTGAAAACTCAGGGCTTCTTCTGGTGCTCTACAGAATACACGATGTACATCAGCCAGGGAAAATTCGATGCTTGTACTCTATGAATTATTCAACAGATTTCGGGCTTCTGAGAGCAGGAGGGTGGGGAGGAAAAGAGCTCAGCGGCATGCTCTGCAAAGACTGCAATTACACAGCCAGAGTGTTTCCTCCCACCCACACACCCAGCACACACCTCCATCACTCTGGTTTTAACATCACCTTCCAGTTCACTTCTCCTGGACTTTTCCAGTATCGCTAAAATCCAGCCCAGGATGGACGGGAGCTCCTCTGCTAACGCTTCATTGTGCTTGACTTCTTCCAGTCTGTGTTATTTCAGGAAAAGATGTTACGCCTCTATGGCTTTAAAAAAAATCTAATTTTAGAACAAATCTTTCATTGCAATATGCAGACACACTTACATGCCGCTCCTTGGTAACAGAATCTATCTATCTATCTATCTATCTATCTATCTATCTATCTATCTATCTATCTATCATCTATCTATCTATCTATCTATCTATCTATCTATCTATCTATCTATCTATCATCTGCCTATCATTCTATCTTCCATCAATCTATCATCTATCTTTCATCTATCATCCTATCATATATATTTCATCTATCTATCATCTGTCTGTCTATCATCTATCATTCATCTGCCTGTCTATCTACTTGAGATTTTTCTTAAGTTTTGAATCAGTCATGGTACAGATAAGGTAAAAATAAGGTAAAAACAACTAACACTCACACAGTGAGAAATGATGCTTCTTACAGTTACACTTAAAACTGTTAATTAAAAAAAATCCCTTTCCATTGAAAATGCCCAAGGCAATGTACAAAAGAAATTTCAGAATCCAACAGAATAAAAATTATTAAGAATAGCACATCAAATGCAGCAACCGTTCAAAAACCCATATTTTTAATTCTTTCACCTCTCTGGATAAAGGCTCTTTGTCTTCCCCGTAAGGTAAGTTGACTTCTACAAGAAAAACCACATAAATACAAAGGGTTTAAAAAGGGGGATTATATTTACTTATTTTAAAACAATTATGAAGCCAGAATGCCAGCAGGGGGTTGGGGGCTATCTAGTGTTTTGCATGGAGTGTCACATGTATGACTATCTGCCCACTGGAAAGAAGTCTTGGGTGTGTGCTCGGTGCAAGGAGCTCCTGGTTCTCAGGTAACGTGTATGCTCCCTTGAGGCAAAGGTGGCTGACCTGGAGAAGCAGAGACAGTCAGGCGCACAGAAAAGACTCCCGGGGACTTGTTAGATATGTCCCACTCTGGATCTGGCAGCCCCGCCACTGTCAGGGAGCATGAGGGTCAAGGAGAAACAGGGCACCGTCCTGGAGGAGAAATTTAGGCTGCTGGGCAGGAAACTTAGGTCCAGGACCTCCAAGGTAGCCTTCTCAGAAGTGTTACCTGTTCCACGCGCAGGGCCGGAGAGACAGGCAGAGATCAGGAGTCTCAATGCGTGGATGAGACGATGGTGTAGGGGGGAAGGGTTCAGGTTTGTTAGGCACTGGGATACTTTTTGGAACAAGAGGGAGCTGTACAGGCGAGACGGTCTCCACTTGTCCCGAGAAGGAACCAGGCTGCTGGCACTTAAAATCAAAAAGGTGGCAGAGCAGCTTTTAAACTGAATATTGGGGGAAAGCCGACAGGAGATGAAAAGTCTCTGGTTCGGGTTGGCTCATCTGAGAGAGGTGAGGGGGTACCGGTTGCTTTTCTACAGGGAGGTGGATTGAAATTGTCCACAGAGGCCATGGCTGGTGACATGGACTGCCGGACAACGACTCGAGATAGCAAGAGGAAGGATGCAGGCTTAACTTGTAAGGGAAATTACAGCTGTTTCTATACAAATGCTAGAAGTGTCCGAGGTAAAATCGGGGAGTTGGAGTGCTTGGTGTCGGAGGGAAAAATAGACATTGTGGGTATTTCTGAAACTTGGTGGGATGAGGAAAATCAGTGGGACACAGTGATTCCCGGTTATATATTATATCGGAAGGATAGGGGGGGAAGGGTTGGAGGTGGGGTAGCTCTGTATGTCAGAGAGGGTATAAAGTCTAGAAAGATTGAGAGGCTAAGTGAATTGGATTCGCTTCTGGAAGTTCTATGGGTTGAAATAGGGGGGCCAAAAGGAAACTTAACACTGGGAGTTTGTTATCGCCCACCAGATCAAAAGATAGAGGAGGATTATAAAATGATGAATGCCTTAAAGATAGCAACTAGACAAAAACACTGTGTAATAATAGGTGATTTTAACTACCCACACATTGATTGGGTCAATATGTGTTCTAGTCGGGAAAAAGAGATTGAGTTTCTAGACACTCTAAATGACTGTGCTATGGAGCAGATGGTCACGGAACCTACCAGGGGAGAGGCGATCCTTGATTTGGTCCTAAGTAACACTCAAGACCTGGTGAGAGATGTAAAAGTGATTGCACCGCTTGGAAACAGTGATCATAATGTTGTTGAGTTCATCATTTGTACAAATAGAGAATTGGCCAAAAAGACTCACACAACCATTTTTAACTTTAAAAGGGGTAATTTCTCTGATATGAGGGGACACGTGGGGAGGAAACTGAAAGGAAAAGTAGAAAGGGTCAAAACAATTGGGGAAGCTTGGGATCTATTTAAAACTACGATCCTAGAAGCTCAAAAAATATATATTCCGCAGGTTAGGAAAGGCACAAACAGGTATAGGAAAAAGCCTGCATGGTTAACAAACAGAGTAATGGAGGCTGTAAAAAGTAAAAAGAATTCCTTTAAGCAGTGGAAAGCTAGTCACAGTGAGGCTGATAAAACGGAACACAGGCTATGGCAAATAAAATGCAAGTCTGAGGTCAGGCAGGCAAAAAGGGAATATGAGGAGCATATAGCAAAAAACGTAAAAACCAACAATAAAACTTTCTTCAAATACATTAGAAACAGGAAACCAGCCAGGGAGGCAGTGGGGCCCTTGGACGACCAAGGGGTAAAAGGAGTATTGAAGGATGATAGGGAAATGGCTGAGAAGCTAAATGCATTTTTTGCCTCCGTCTTCACTGTGGAAGATGAGAAGTGCTTGCCCACTCCAGAACCACTGATTTCAGGAGGGGTGTTGGAAGACCTGAGTCAGATTGAGGTGATGAGAGAGGAGGTCCTAAAACTGATAGACAACTTAAAAACTGATAAATCACCAGGCCCAGATGGCATACATCCAAGAGTTCTGAAAGAACTCAAATGTGAACTTGTGGATCTCCTTACAAAAATATGTAATCTTTCCTTAAAATCTGCCTCCATTCCTGAGGACTGGAAGGTAGCTAATGTCACTCCCATCTTTAAAAAGGGTTCCAGAGGAGATCCGGGAAATTACAGGCCAGTCAGTCTGACGTCGATACCGGGTAAATTGGTGGAAACCATTATTAAGGAAAGAATTAGTAGGCACATAGATGAACAAAACCTATTGAGGCAGACTCAACATGGGTTCTGTAAGGGAAGATCTTGTCTCACAAACCAACAAAACCTATTGAGGCAGACTAAGCATGGGTTCTGTAAGGGAAGATCTTGTTATGCCAATCGCTTTATTTACAGCAGATGGCTAACTAAATTTAACGTGAGCTCTTGCCAACTTTTACGGAGGTCGTGTCTACCCACAGAGCCCCAGTGATGGAGACGAGACTGGTGTTTTTCCAAATCAAATTGTCTTTTTACTGAGCAATATCAACATCCAATACACTCAAAATCAGTCTCACATTCGCATACACTCAAGGTTCCTTTAGATTTACAGAAAGATATCAAGATAGTTTAGTTACTTAGGAGGTGGGTAGGTACATGGTTTAATACTTGCCTGTTCTTGGAGTCTTATCTGTTGCAATGAAAACTTGAAGGGTAAGAATAATATCTAGTGGGATTTCTAAATACACACCTGCTAGAACCAGCCAGCTAAGCGTGAACCTCTTTGGCTGTGCACACACCAAGAAGTCAGGTAAAGACAAAGGATTTTAGCAGACTGGGGAGAAGGGGAGTTACAGCAGGGGGGGATAGCGGCTAGCCCAGGCACGTGGTCCCTGCTTTTTATAGTGAAATCTTTGAGGTGGTTGGCAACCTTCACCATTCTGGATCCACCTGAGTATAAGTCCGTCCTACTGCTACATCTCATTGGTGCATGCAAGAAAGGGCACTACCTTTAAAGGTTGGACAATATTTGAAACTCTAGACTCTAACTCAAAACCGGCCATCTGGTCAGGTGTGAATGTTGATGTCACCATTATCCTTGATGTGCAAATGAATCTCCGCTTTCCCATGCAATCAAATAAACATTCCCAGAGGAAACGGTAATTCAGATGTAAAGTTCAGTACGTGGATTGCGTGACATCAGTCCTTCCAGCAATGGAGAATTACTTGTCTTTAAGCTGTGGTTTCTACTGACAATGGCGAAATGTGCTTCTTCTCCCTCAGGCCAGGATCTTTG